GGGGAGAGTCAATAGTTTCCAGTCCCAGGTTTTACACAGTAATTGTGAAATGTGATATGAAAAATAACATCTGTGCCTAATCTGACCTAGATCCTCTGAGTTGTTTATAGGGGCACTTTTGAGTCTGAATGAGATAAGGAGGAGATATAAATGTTAAGTTTTTATTCTTTGGCTCACTTCAAATAGTTCAGCCAGCTTATTGTGGTAGTTTTGACTGCATGATTCATAGAATTGTCCCCTAACCTGCAATCACCATTCATCATCATCAATTAATATTTCCAATATTGAGTACCCAGGGGATGAGCAGCCCTGTATTAGGCACCAGGCAACCTACCAGACTGTCATCAACACTGCACCCCGACTGGCGGTTCTGCTATTAAAAAATGCTACTGTTCAGAAAGTTACAGGAAACGGTGACCCTTTGTCCACAAGATCAATGACAAATTGAAAATGGGTAACTGGGGGAGCCCTTCTTTCATCCTCCACTCTGGGCGCGATGGGAAACAAGGCTGCCAAGAGATCCAGAAAATAATTTCTCAATGCAGCCGCAAGAGGATCCTGTAGCCAAGGAAGAGAATTCCTGCCAAGCAAATCTGAATCTCCAGTCCTTCTCTCATGCTTTCCCTCCTGCTGCCAAACCCAGAGCCACCCACGCTGGTGCGTTCGGGACATTCCAGATCTAGGGCAGGAAGCCTCCTCCGTACAGGCAGATGTTGGTTCAGGAATTATGTACCTGGGCTCGGCTTTGGGGCAAAATTCAGAGCATGCATGTCGTGGGAGAAGTGTTCTTTGCAGAGTTAGATTTAAAAAAAAAATAGAGTATGCACTTCAGTGCGTGAGAATGTTTGTATATTTTATCTGTACAAGCGTGTATAATACCTCTACTACTCCCCCCCCGCCCCATTCTGATTAAATACTACATCTGTGATTGGTTCCACAGTAATTAAAGAACTTGAAGTCCCACTCATTTTTCCCCTCACAGAGTTAAACTCAGGACTCAGTGTAAAGCAGTCACTCGCGCATTAACGTTAACCGAGGCCTTGCAGTTTCTCCCCGAATGAAGGTTGGGGGTGGGGGGAATGCTCAGGAAGAGGACAAGAAATCACAACTGCGCATGCTCGAGGGAAAAAAAATACAGCTGGTCAAGGCAGACAATGAATCAAAGCCTGACAGTTTCTGTTTTGACACTTTTTGACTGTTACACTGATGTCGCTAGAGGAGCTTAGTTAAGGATCTCTCTTTAATTCTCGAATTATTTTCCCCACCTCAAAACTGGCAGGGAATATTCATTCCTATGAAGCTGACCAGGTAAGTATGGAAAATTGGGAAGTCACATTTCCACCTTCTGCAAAGGAACGATGATTTTGAAGAGTTCCTGGGAGGGGACTCTAAGATGTATGAATTGTACACAAATCAATTGCAATGGGGGGGGTTGGGGAATCAGCCACCATGATTCGTGGAATTAATGAAATTTCTAGAAGAAAAACGCATTGTCTGCCTCCACCTAATTGTCAATATGAAGAATTAGATCAAAGTAATTTCATCGGTTTCCAACTGACTCAGCATTAGAAAAGCTTAACATTTCACAAATCAACATTTAAGCACCTGCTGGTATACAAAGAATTTTGATAGCCATTTTAGGGACTCAAAACAAAGTTCTGCTTTCAAGGAGTTTACTTTCTATGGATTTTGGGGAGGGAATACAAGCAAATAGATATGTTAAATACAAGTTGAGTAACAAGGTAATCAGGACAGTCTTATCTTCTAAGATGACATCTGAATTGAGTTGAGAAAGAAGCTCAAGATTCACTAGACATGAAGAGCTAGAGTATAAGGCTTAAGGCTTGTCTTGCATGAAGGCATTTCATGGAGGCAGAGATCAGGGACAACAAATTCCTCAGTTCAGCTGGGGGGCAAAGAGGTTCCTGTAATGTGCTAGCATTATAGTGGTGGTGGAGGAAGGGTTAAAATATAAAGCAATCATCCTTATATTCTAGTTGGTAAAAACAGAGCTATTTGTTAATTTGTTCAACAAATATTAATTTTATATCCACAATGTACAAAGCACTATTGTGTTAGGTAGAGAATACAAGTAATGGTTCAGTCCTTGACTTCATGGAGTTTACAATCTATTAATGGACCTGCAACTGATGAATGAAGAAAAAGATTTTATGCAAACATCATTATATACTGACAAAATGAAGCATACATTTTGTTGTTCAGTCCTATGCAACTCTTTTGTGACCCCATTTGGGGTTTTCTTGGCAGAGATACTGGAGTGGTTTACCATTTTCTTCTCCAGCTCATTTTACAGATGAGGAAACTAAGATCAGCAGGGTCAAGTGAGTTGCCCAGGGTCACATAGCTAGTAAGTCTCTGAATCTGGAAGAGGAGTCTTCCTAACTTCAGGATCTGCACTCATGGACTGCACAATCTAGCTGCGCTAAAAGCAAATCACTTAACCCTGTTGGCCTCAGTTTCCTCATCTGTAAAATGAGCTGGAGAAGGAAATGGCAAACCACACCAGTATCTCTGCTAAGAAAACTCCAAATGGGATCGCAAAGAGTCAGATACAACTGAAGATGACTGAACAACAACAACAAAGCATACACACACACACACACATATGTGTGTATATTGTGCATATTTATATATGTGTATGGATTATATGTACATATAGTTATAGCATATCACATATGAGGCAAAAGGTATTGTGTGTATGTGTGTGTGTGTGTAACATGAGCAAATGTTTGGAGGAGGGAGCAAGCATCAACGCATTGAGAGGTTAACAACTCCATCCATTTGACTAAAGCACCAAGCAGGATAAGACCCTTTAAATAAAAATGTCAGGTTTCATTTTTACATTGTTCTTGTTTAGAATATCACTGCAGATAACTTGGGGGCAAGTCAAAAGGAAAATAGTATTTCAATCTTTCAACTTTGATTTTTTCAATTTTTTCAAATTTAAATTCCCTTTCAGGAAGACATGGACAGTGTTTTTAGAGTGGGAGTGTTACACATTTTCACCCCAAACAGTTCCATGTCTTAAATTCAAGGCATAAAAGAATTATGTATTTACCAGAGCTTTAAGATCATAGTAAAGTTAAAGGCTTTACTACTCTAGTAGTAATTGGAGAACACTAACTTTCTGATGTCATCAAAACAGCTTTGTGAAACTCAATGTCCTGTCTTTATATATAGAACTACATTTTAGTCTATGAGTAATTAGTAACTTCCGTCTTGATAAACAGCATAGAAAATGTCTTAGGAATTATTTTTTTTTACCACCAAATTCACCTTTTAGATATGCTCCTTCCGTTTCTGTGTCTCTAATAAAAAGTAGAGTATTAATTTTTTATATAAAGAGTCAATCAGACCTAGGGAATTTTGAGAGATGTGTCACTAATCCCTGCTGCCTCTGCTGTCAGCAAATCATCACTTTGGGTGCATACCGAACAAACTGTGTTACTCAGCTTCCTAGAAAAGAAGATATTTGCAAACAGAAGAGACAGCTAAATACACTGGGATGAAAGGGGGATTGGGGTGTTAGGGAAGAGAGCCTAGTTGATGCTTATTTTATCATCAAGGTGTGGTAGACTTGCAGGAACACACAGGTAAACCAGGCGTTTCATCTGGAAGAGGCAAAAACTGGGTAACTTTCAGAATAGTATTTATTAATGAAGATGGCAGTTGGGGGACGTGGTGGAGAAAAGAAGTGAGGGGAAACACAGGAGAATAGGCACTGGAGATGTGAAGAAATGTCATCATCGTAGACATTTCAGTGACAAAGTAATAAAAACAAATCCAGTCTGGCATATCAGCTTTTCAGGAGAAAGTAAAAGCCTTCCTTGAGGAGGGCCCCTCTGTTTCTTCCCCACTGATCCCCAGTTGTTCTCTTTCTCCTACATCCTCCGTCCTCCTCCCCTTCTAGTCCCGCATCAAACTCGAAACGCTGGAGCCAGATCTGGACCTTACAGAGTCAAGAAAGAGGTTCACTATAGTGACATTTACCGACCCCGCTCCTCAACCGTGTGCTCAAATCATTCACTGAACCGGTGCCCGCCTCAGGGGGGATTATGAATGAGCAGCCGGCAACCACTTCTTTCAAGAATCTCTTGGAGCTGAGAGCTGACTTTATCCCCCGGGTCGCTTAGGATGGTACCAACCTGGTGAACCCGGCAATCGAGGCTGCTGCCTTCCTTCCCTAGGAGACAGACACATTAATACTGATTCAATCGCAGTGGGGGAGGTGTCTATATTTTGGTTTGGGAGCGTCGCTTGCAGGAGAGAAGTCCTTTTTTTTTTTTTTTTAAAGTGTGTGTGTGTGTGTGTGTGTGTGTGTGTGTGTGTGTGATTGTGTGTATGTATGTGTGTGTGCGCGCGCGTGTCTGTCAGCTTCCTCACTTCTAAAGGCAAGTCCATTGGGCAGCAGTTCCACTCCTTCAGGGAATACCTGTTGGCCTGGGCTCCGAGCCAAGGTGCTACTGGGGACTCGGATGCGCGTGGGTCTGTGGGGGGCTCCCCTCGCTGATTCTGGATTCTGGTGCCTTGCTGCTGATAGCACCGCAGCCTCTGCTGCCGTCTTCTCTTCGTCTCCCGCAGTCCCAGCTGCTTCTCCTGCCCGGGTGGAGAACAGGTGCCTCACCTTGGGGCTCGGTGCCCAGTTGCCCAACTCTCCGGAGCCTCGGGAATCTTCTTGGGGCTCGGATCTGGGATCAGGGTTCATGCCCCACAGGCAAACAGAAAAGGCTTTGCATACAATTGACTGGCTGCTGGGGGACAGTGGGGAAGCGAGAGAAGCAGAGGGGGTGGGGGGCCGGGAGGGCTGGAAGGAAAGGGCGGAAGCCTCAGTAGACCCTTCACACCTGTCAGATCCAAGGAAGCCCTGTCTACACTTGCATCAGGAAAGCTGAGTCCTGGTCTTGTCAAGCAAGGTGAAGAGAGCTGCAGAGAGGAAATAGGGGGTGTGCACAGACTCTCCGCAACAACGGACTCACTTCACCTCTTTTCCCCCACTCCGATTATCACCTCGCTGCTCCTCTCCTTGTGTCCTCTCTATCTCTCTGTTCAGGACTATTCTGCCTCATTTCTCGCACCCAGCTCCATATACCTGGAAAGCACCGCTTCTTAAACCATGGCCCCTAAGCTGCTGGCGCTCTTCTGTCTCCTCTCTGGGCTCCACGCACGGTAAGCCTGCGCCGGGAGACTCGTTTAGGGCTTTCCAGAGGGTGATCTTTTCCAGGCTGGGGGAATCTATAGTGAAAGGATTATCCCTAGAAGGAGCGTGTGGAGGGTTTGGGGAAGGGGGTAGTTGTGGAACCTAGAGGGAAACCCTGGCTGGAATCCCCGGCTCTGCTTTACCACATTGATGGTTTTTGTCGGTCTTGTCTGGTTTTAGGCTTAGCATTGTAAGCTTGCCCGCTGACTGTCAATGTAAGGAGATCAAATCTCCACTTTGAAAATTAGAAAAAAAAAATCTTTTCACCACCCCATCACCCCTTTTCCAGCTCAGCACCTTCCTCCCCAAGGGAGTCAGCTCCAATCTTAACCCACAATGTTTCTGACTTCTGGATTACTTGACTCTTCCAAAAATGGAGAAGGGATTTCAGGGTTTGAACAGCCCAAGATTAATTGGCAGCAAGTACTTGGTTTCCCCTCCCAGAAGTCGGAAGGAAAAGTCTCCTGTCCCCCAAATTCTCTCCTGATCTCTGGATATATCAGTTGCTTTGAAATTGTATTACCATCCCAGAGGGGGAAAAATGGACTGAGAACTCGGTACTAATTTGAGTGCCAGGGGAAGGGAGAGACACAGTTGAGAGTCAACCTTTTTCTGAGGTGTTTCCCTTACCATTTGTCCCCAGATACACTCAACACACTTCCCTCAGGCCTCTCACTCCTTTGCTCTCCCTTTCCCTATTCTGGGAGGAATGCTATTACATTTACCAAGGAAGAGATGAGGTTCCAAGCATAAGCATCTCTTGAATCTCCTTTGTAGAACTGTGTGCCCTAATCTGACTATACTAAGAAGCTAACTAAATTAGAAATGAATTCTTCCAAATAAACTGGAGAGTAGCAGAAGAGTTAAACTCAGGCTGCAGTAATTCCAACAGATTTGGTTATAAATCAGCAAAAAAAAAAAAAAAAGTCTTGCTTTCACCACAGGTGGGGTCAGCAGGGCAACCTTTTTATGACCTGGGGGGGAGGGGTGTTTTCTTCACTGTGACTTCTGTGAATAGTCCAATGCTTAATTATTTGGCTAGAATTTCTAATGGTAGAGCCTCTGTTAGGATGCAATTTCAAAGCCAAACATGGAGATGTTAGAAGCTCCCTCTCAGAAAATATTTCTGTCTAGCTAGCCCTCCATACCATATAGATGCCTAAATTGTCACATTCTGAAATTCTGAATTTCATTTGGAGAAACGGAGTAACTTAAAAAAACAACACCAAAGAATATACCCTTTTACTGGAAGAAACTGATTGCTATTATTCTTTAATTCCTATCTATCAAATTTTAATATAAAAGGATTCTAACATCATTTAAAAACAAACAAAAAACTCAATAGGACTAAAGTTGTTCCCTGTTTGTATCTACCACAGGAACTGAAGATTTAGCTCTCCCAAAAGAAAAAAAAAATCCCAATTTTCCTTTCTTCCCAGAAGTCCAGGTGTAATATCAACTTCATATGTTTTTTCCAAAAAAGGAATATTCAACCAGTGACTCACAGGAAACTTTATCATTGAGACATATGTCTCTTTTCTGTCTTTCAACTAATGCCAAGAGATGGCTGTGAAGGAAGGGAAAAATGTCTGAAACTCTGTACATCAGCATGTGCTTTTGTGGAGGCAGAGACAGGGAGATAGACAGATATTTGCATGTTATATTTTCAATCTGAGATTCTGAAGTAAAATCTAGTTGGAAACTATATTTAGGTTGATTCTTCTGTGATTCTCATGTAATTTATATTAAATGTTGAACTCATGGAATTCATTATGTTGAATATTGTATTTTCCCATATTGTCCTTGTTCTTCACTCTTTGGAGGTGTACAGTGCTTATACACTCTCTTTTCAGTAAATAGTCATCTGGTTCCATGAGTTCAGTAATGAAGATATTCCTTCCAGGGAGAATGATCACCATTCACCCATCTTATGGGGATCTTTTCCATGTATTCCTATAAATTCACCACTGAGGGAAAAAAAGGAGAGTTCTACCTTGATGAGGCATTTCCTCAATTTCTTTCTACACCCTGAGGAAAAGGCTGGAAAACACAGGCTATTATCTCTATCTCCTCCTATAAAAACTTTTCTCAACACTTTCTCTACTCATCGATCTGACTTAAACCGTGGATTCCATGGATCTTTCCATATTACCATCCTTCTAAGATAGTCAACCTGTTTACTATAAAACATACCTGACCAAGTTTTGTATAGATTCCTTGGATAAGACCATTAAAATAAAGGTCATATATAGAAACAGCAATTTTCATTTTTGTCTGATTCAAAATTGTACTTTCAAATGTTTCCATGTGTTTTAGTAAAACCATCATGTTACATTGTATATGAGGAAGGGGAAGAATTTTTTTCCAAGGTCCTGTAGTTAAGGCTTTGTTCTTCCACTTGGGTCTCATGTGTTAGTCTTAGGTTTATGCTTTACATCATATCAGAATGATTAGCCCTTCATATATTCCTCTTGGAATTGATTTACAGTCTTTAGGAATTAGTATAATACACAAATAAAAGCATTTGACATTTAGATTCTCTTTTATAACTGTTATCACACCAGTCTGCTTCTTTTTCACACTTCCTAGTAGCCACTTTGGAATACTTGTCTCTCCTAGAAGTTCCCTGGAAAAGATGTCTACAGTTGTAGTTCTCTGCATTCACACCTTGGGACTGAGGGTGGGGAAGATGGACCCTTGATATCTTGACTTAAAGTAATTTGATTATTATAAAAGAAGTAACCACAATCTCAAACACTTTGGTTATAGTTCAGAAAAGCCAAGATTTGATTTGCTTTTGAAGGCTTTTTTTTTAAGTTTTCAGAAATGATGCTTCGTGGTTATCTTTAGTCTGACAGCTGATGTAAGATATTAGAACCAATTCTATGTTAAACAGTCAACTGATGGTGATAGCATATCACTGATTTTTAATCATTTACTTATTTTTAAGACCAAAAATTACACAGATGATTAGTAGCCAATAAGACAAATAATAAAATGCAATTTAAGAATGTATATAACCTACTTGATTGTAATTAATAGGCTACTTAATTTCCTTACTTTTACTACACCAATGGCCACCAACAGCCATCCTTTGTAATTACAGCAAAAGTTTACTAGAGCAAGATGTAATATTAAATCCTAGGAATACACAGCAAGAACAATTTCTTCTCCTGTTCCTGGCAAAGCCCAACCCAGAGAACCTGGTAACTGCATCGCAGACATGCCTTCCAGGGAATACATTCTTTTTACCTATATTTCATCCTCTAGTTTCTTCCCTCCCACCAACCTCAGTCTCCCCTCAAAGGGAGAGTGGTTCCTTTGGCTTTGGATCAAACAGTTCTAAACCTCACCCTCTAAAATAGCCAATGCAACTGTCATGGGTAACTGGGACAGGGAGGGAAACAGTCCTGGCTGATTTTGTGAAAGGAAAATCAAGTACATGGACTGCCATCATGTAGAGCTATACAGATTCAATTACAATTCATCAATGTCATATGATAATTGTATATGTGATTGTGAGTTTGGAAGGAAAACATTATTCTTGCTACTTTTCTATACTGCCTCAATTCTGTATCCTTTCCCAACACACACACACACACACACACACACACACACACACACACACACACCACACAAATACAGACACTTAGAGAATGACTGTCCAAAGTTTTAAGATAACCTACTCCTCACCAGCAGAGGGAGAATTAGACTTACTGTAATAAATACTATCTGAGTAGAACTTTTAAGAGATTAAAACAGTATCTATACAATCTATAAAAAAGTCATAATAGAATATGTAACTATATACCCCTTTAATCCATACAAAACTGACCAAAGAGATAGTTAAAAATAAGTTTATTTTGACTAACATAGATGATACACAGACATGTTTTTGTTCACTAGTATAAATAAGGGAGAAGAGAGGAGAGAATTGGAGAGGGAAAGGGAAGACAAACAGAACTCCCATTCTTCCAGCCAATCATCTGAGAAATGTTCTTGTCCTGTGATGCAATGGAAAGAGACTTGGCTTTGAAGCAAGGGAACCTGAATTTAACCTTCACCTCAAATTCTGATTCTTCATAAGTGATGTTGTCTAAGTCACCTAGCCTCCCTGGACATTAGTTTCTTCATTCATAACATAAGGGTATTGGACTAGATCAGTGGTGGGGAGCCTGCAGCCTAGAGGCCATATGTGGCCTTCTAGGTCCTTGGAGGTGCCTTTTGATGGAGTCCAAGCTTTACAGAACAAATCCTTTATTAAGAGGATTTGTTCTGTGAAGTTTGGATTCAGTCACAGGGCCACATTTGAGAACCTAGAGGGCCACATGTGGCTTTGAGGCTGCAGGTTCCCCAGCCCTGGACTAGACGGTCCTAAGAGCCTATAATCCTTTCCTGATCTTCTAAGCCCTTCAGGGATTAATTGGTTAATGACATCCCAAATTACTATTCTTATCCCAACCGCTATACCATATACCCTGTTGATTTCTATGAGATGTTAAAATTAATATCGCTAAACAACAGGGAAAATTTTCATTTTAAAGGTGGAACATATTTATAAAAGTAATACTATTACTTAAATATGTAGAAAAATTACATAAATTGTTTAGTACAATAGTCAACTTTAAATTATGTGCTTTATTTGAATATTATACATTTTATATCTTATGTATGACCACTTTTTTTCAGTCCTTGGCCAAATGCCTCAAACAATCCATCAAGTACTATCACCACTGTTTAGTAAACATGAGGCCAAGGAATAAAAACTTGTTTTAAATATTCACCTAAATAAGCTTAAATTAAGAAAGTGATTTTGCTTTTAAAATACCATATACAATAAAATATAATGTTTTAGAATGTCATATATTGTATTTTTAAAACAAAATCAAAAGCAAATGGAGTTTTAGCTCTATATTTATATTCATCTACACATATATTTATATAGACACACATGTGTATACATATATGTACACTTTTTTATTAGTCATATGGTGTGACTTTTCAATACCAAGGTACTGGTTCTATAGATATGGATAGTTCAGTCAATTTTAATTGGGCTTATTAAAAGATAACCAGCAAGGACAGTCATGTAAATACATATCTTGAGGTGAAGGAGCTATGAAATCTTCCATAGACAAAGTCTAAAGAAAACCACACCAGACAAATATAACTCAAGACAAATTCACCTGAGATTCTAATGCCATCCTGTATAAGGATAATACACACACACACACATACACACACACTTGTTGGTTCTGGGAAGGAAAAGAAAAACCAGCTCCAAGTAAATAGTATTTATTTTTTTCCGTCTATTTGTACATGCTAAATGGAAATTCATTTGAAACACCCACTTTAAGATGACAGCAAAATCTACTCCATTTAAAGCTCTGTATTATTAAATTTTAACTAGACCAGCACTCAGAAAATAAGCTATTTATGCTGAGATTATTTTCCCTATGTACTTGGATTCTTTCAACCTGTAGGAAGTCTTTTGAGACTCCCACCCCTAGTTATCAATGATCTCTGTCCCCTTCACATTTTCTTGTATTTGGATTTGTGTATATGCTGGATCTCAGGCTCACTTTTACTCCTTAGAAATTAAGCTCCTTCAGGGCAGGTATTATCTTATTTTTGTCTTTGTATCCACATTGCCCCACTCAGGGCCTGGCACTAAATACTCAATTTATGAACCAGGATGCATTGAGTTAGATTGAATGGAATATGTTTCCAGCTGGTTCACAGTACTAACAATGTATTCTGGAAGTCTAGTGGAGTCTTCTTTTGAGGATATATTCATTTATTAATGGACCAAAATGATCAAAATGTATTAAAATTATTAAATTTTTAATATCCTTATTAGCCTGCTGTGCAAGAGATAAATCAGTTGTGTGTTGGAAGAGCCAAGTAATGCTGCAGGAAGATTTTCACCTACCCAAGAACTCTCTTACAAGTTAACTATTATGAAGGGGACTGGGAGGAGAAAAAAAATGCCAATCCTATAACACAAGTATATCTGCATAAATTCTCTGATTTCAGTTGCAGGGAGAAGTAATGGAGTGAAACTGTTTACCCAATTATTTTCAATTGGTAAAGCCTGAGCAGACTATTCTTAGCTTCAGCAATAAATGTTGTCTTTGGAGGAAAAACAATGAAAATTGTAGCTGAGAAACCCTGCAAAATACTCCTAGAAATGTTTATTCCTCCAGAGCTTACTTCAGTCAGATTGAATTCTCAAACACTGGCTTTCAAAGTGTGGTACAGAAAAATATTGGTGGTCAGTAATCCTAAAGTTTTCTACAGGCTGGCTGTTTCAGTGGTCATCTTTAAAACATGATTTCTCCAACAGTTCTGTTCTGGTCAATACATATAATAATTCATGAAAAGGAGACAGAAACATAAGCAATCCCATTCTTCCCATCTCTCCTGTGAAGTCCTTCCTCCCTCTTTGACTGGAAAGCAGCAGCTGGTGGAATTAGTGGTACCCATACTTCTCTTCTCTCATTTCTTCTACCTATCCTCTGAAATACTCACAGTCTAGAAAATAGAAGACCTGTTAACAGGAAGGAAACAGCTATATGCCATTTAAATGCTTCACTTAAATTTTCATTACAGGTCCAGAAAGATTGAAGATGATGAATATGAAGATCTGTCTTATAACCAAAAGTGGGTCCTGGCTCCAAAAACTCAAGACACTGATGTGACTCTTATACTCAACAAGTTGCTAAGAGAATATGACAAAAAGCTGAGGCCAGATATTGGATGTGAGTTGCTGTTATTTGCTATTCAAATAGAACAGGATACCATAAGCAGGGTGCTTTAGAAAAAATCCCAAGAGATATTTCAAAATATGCTTTCTAATATGGAGTGAGTTGATTTGGCCAAATGGCATAACTTTTTGTAAGAATATATTTTATTAATATATTTTGCTTTTATAATTTCTCTAATATCTCCCTTCTCCTTTCAGAGAGACCTCCCTCACAGCAAAGACTTTTTTTTAAAGTGTAATAAGAAAAAAAAGATCAGTAGGACTGATCAATCAGCAAAAAAGTCTATTACATGTAATATTCCACAACTTTGGACCTCACACCTCTGAAAGGAGTAGGGGAAGGTGGCTTCTAATATCTCTTTTTTGGTGCCAAACATAAATTTTATAATTTCAAGACATTGAATTATTGTTGTGGTTTCCATTTGCATTGTTGTAGTAATTGTTTACATTCTTTTCTTGGCTCTGCTTACTTCACTTTGAATCAGTTCATGTAAATCTTATAGTATAACTTTTCACCTGGAGATAGGGTGGCATGAATAACCGAAAGTCTTCACTATCTTCACTGATGATAAAAAGTACATAAGAACTGTAGGGGACTAATTTCCAAAGGATGTCAGTACCCAAACCATGTCTTCCCTGCCCTTGGCTCATCATTTTCTACTTGATATGGGCCCTTGTAGTACAGAAACTACTACAAGGGTTATTTGTATAAGGACAGGAATACACACTGGGCTAGTTGCTAGATGGAACAGTAGAAAGAACAATAAAATAGAAAAGTGATTTCTAGTTGTGGCTCTCTCACTACTTGCATAACTGTTCAAATTACTGGACTTCTTCATGTTTCTGTTTCCTTATCTGCAAAATGGGATGGTTAGATTAGACAGTTCCTAAGTTATCTTCTAGTCTATGATATTTTGTAGCCTTTACCTCTTATTATGAATATTTACCTAGTTCACAGAATTCTGGTAGGGATTAAACAAAATAAAGTACTTTGCAAAACTTAAAATGCTATATTATATGATATATTGTATCTTGTGATGGTAATGGTGATGATGATGATGATGATAAAGATAATTAAGTGTCAGAAACAACTCTACTTCTGTACAAGGTCCATGATTCTGGTAGAGTGCTTAGAGCTTGATTAAACATCAGAGATGCTAAGGTCATCTACTTCTTGCTGGACCACTGCCAGACAAGACTTCTGTCTTGTCACTGGACTTCAATGGACTTTGTGCAACTCTGCCTCACTTAAATCCAAATCACAAGTGAGTCAAGACATCACCCCATGATGTCATTGGTCCTCTTCAAAAGGGAAGCTGAAGAGCAACAACAAAAGAATTTGGCCATTGTTAGTACTGATGAAAGGGCAGCTAGGTGGTGCACTGGTAGTGCACCAGGCCCAGAGTCAGAAAGACCTGAATTCAAAGTCAGCCTCAGACACTATCTGTGTGACCATGAGCTGGAAAAGTAAATGGCAAACTGCTCCAGGATCTTTGTCAAGAAAATCCCAAGCGAAGAGTCGAACACTACTGAAATGATTGAACAACAACAGCAACAGTATTGATGAAACAAAATGGAAGCAATTTTCCTAGAATAGTTTATATAAAAGGATATTGATTAGATCAAGTTGAGCAACCTTTCTTCATTTCTGTGGAAGGAAGTAGATTAGGGCATGAAATAAAGATGGAGCAGAGGGATTTAGGTGAAATTTAAAAAGGAATTCCATTAAGGGGTACAACAGTAGGGAAGCTCAGAAATCTTCTGTAGAATTTATTTTTAAATAGTGGGTAACTATTGATTTGGAATGGTTTAGTAATCTTTTTCAGAGGCAAGGGAAGATGATGTGAGTTACTTTTTTATCATTCCAAACCTTGTTCCACAAAATATTTTACTTAATGAGTTAAAAACTGAAGGCATTTCCTGGATAATACAAAGCTAAATATTCTTTTGCCTCAATTCTGTTGACATTCCATGTAAACAATTACTATGATGTGATTTATCTGGATTATTTGTCCTAATGCTCCATTTCTCTTTGTTGTTATACACCATAAGTCTACTACAGAGAACTAATGTAGATATTTTGGAAATGAGGCAAGTTCCAGGACAATGTATATTAGCCTTTCTATATATAAAAAATGAAATTCATATTTCTCCCAAATATTGACAATAAACAAAGAAAGTATACAGGAAAGTTGTATAATTAGATGTAGTTTCCAGTCTTATAGTTTCACCTTATATATAGTCCCATTCTCGGATGACAGGGTGATCTGATTAAAGTCTATTATGACTTTGGTGCCAATGACTCATATGTCTGCCTAATTTATATTGGGAGTAGCCATTATCTGCCTGTTCCAGGATGTGGCTGTAACATATATTCATTCAGGATTAAAGAGTCAATAGCACAGTAAATTGCTTTACTAGAAGAAGACACTACTTTGCCTTATTATTTTTGTTATGTGGTAAGGAGTTAGGGGTAGGTGATGTTGCTTTATCAAAGTCTTCCCTGCCAAATATTAAGATCTATATTCTTTTCTTAATGGTGTTTCAAATTTAACCCAGTTTGTCTTTGGTGATAGTCCTCTACACTGCTTTAAATCATGCTAACAGTATGACTCACTCAAAGAAAGTTGGTGTGCTTTTCAGTGACAGTTCCCATAGTTCCAAGGATCATAGAATCATAAATCTGGAGCTGGAAGGTACCTTAGAGGTGATCTAGTACATCCCTCCTCCTTTTACAGATGAGGCAACAGTCCCAGAGAAGTTAAGTGACTTTCTCTAGTTCACAAAGGTAGTAAGTGGCAGAGTTGGGACTTGAAGTTAGGTCCTTGGACTCCAAGCCCAGTAGTCTTCCTGATTTATCATGTTGTCTTAGTGACTATAGGGGTGGCTAGATGGTGCAGTGGATAGAATGTTGGGCCTAGAGTCAGGAAGTCAGGAGTCAGGAAGACTCCTCTTCCTTAGTTCAAATCCAGCCTCAGAAGGAAATGGCAAACCACTCCAGTATCTTTACCAAGAAAACCCCAAAAGGGGTCAGGAAGAGTTGGGCGTGTATTAATGACTAATCATCATCATCATCATCATCATCATGACTATAAATGTGCCTTATCCAAATTGTCATCCTCACAAATATGTGGCCCAGAGGAAGCAGCTGAGATTCACCAGAGAAATATAAGATGTCATATTACCATTGTTGTCAACACTAAGGAGAATGAAATGGAAAACTCATTTATGGTGTGTGGGGGTAATGTATTCATATGAAATCCACTAATGAGTTTTCATATGAATTGTGATCATAATATTTATGAAGTACTGGATATTTCCCACTTATCATCTATTCTCAGATAACTTCTCCATTATGTATGTATCTGTTTTTACTGTAAAGTTTTTAACTATCCATCATCCTAAGTAATACTTCAGATGCGTCCTTTACCAGTTCAGGGTTATGTAGGCTATCATCTATCTTGGAAAGAAATCTTGTCATGTGCTCTGAATGAGGCTAGAGGAGGATAAAGCTTCTAATAGAGAATTTGAGAGCTAAGCAAAAGTAAGAGCTTTTTTTTTTCCTCTAAGGGTTTTAAGAGATTTGAATGTATTTCCTAGAAATATACACATACCCTGCATAGAATTTGCCCTCAAGATATGGTGTTTCTCAAAACATCATCAATATATTATAAAAAAAAATACTCCTACTGTAACACTATGAAGCCCTTTGGTCCAGTTCATTATCCATTTTCTGCATCAATCCTTTGGTTCTAAGCAACTGCCTCCTAATCCCCATAATTTGTTTTGCCTAATACAACATTTTCATAGAAAAAGTTAATGACTTCAAGTAAAGTGTGCCTATAAAACATAAGGATGCATATTCCTCTATCTGAACAATCTATTGTTGAGAAAATCATGATTGAACTAAAGACAAAGGTTAATACAGACATTTGAAGATGAAATTCTGTTTTGAAGCACTGGGCCTAGAGTCAGGAAGAGGAGTTCAAATATGATCTCAGATCCTTACTAGCTGAGAGACCCTGGCAAAGTCACTTTAATTCTGTTTCACTTAGGTTCCTCATCTGTATATTGAAAATAATAATAGCACATCCCTTTGAGGGTTTTTGTGAGGATCAAATGTGAGAATAATAGTAAAGTGTTTACCAAAATGCCTGACATGGTAAGCAATATAAACTTGGTTGCTGCTGTTGTTGTTATTATTATTATTTGGCATGAAAACAACCCCTGCATTTAATTTAATTCAGCAAATTAAATATATAACTATATCATTCATACTCTATGTTTTTAGAAACATATGTAGTCACTAAAGAGTGTGATTTCTATCCCCTTTCCTTAGAGAGAAGGTCCAGAGAGGTCTCTGTTCTCATTATTCTTGATTTGCTATGGTATCTATTCCCAGATTAATGAATTCAACTCAATTCAGTTTAATTCAACTAGCACAGATTAAACATTTAGTATGTTCAAGGCATTTGGGACACAAAGAAGAAAAATAACATAGTCTTACAGTCATAACTTTAAAGTCATCTAGTCCAATCACCTTATCTTGTAACTCCAAAGAAGAACTTAAATCTGAATAGAAGGATTAAACATGTACACTGTTAAAAGGATAGGAGACAGAATGCAATAAGGAAAATAGAAGGATTTCAACAAAATATTATGATAAATAAATGCGAATCCAGCCTCTGCTATTTACTGTGTGACCTTGGGTAAATTATTTAATCTCCATGTGTCTCAGTTTCCTTATATGCAATATGGAGTTTGATTAAGTGATCTCTAAGAGACCTTCCAGCCATGATCCTCTCATCTTATATGAGTGAGGAAAGATCACTTTAAGAGGATTGGGATAATAGCTCTGTCAAGTTGGTAGATTTGAACCTCAAAGGATTCTCTGCACCTCAGTTCCCTGATTTGTAAAATTAAGGAGTTGAGTTAAATAACCACTGGAAGTCCTAGCAAGCTCTCCATCTATGATTCTATGATCTGATGATTTCA